GCAGTTCAAGCTCACCAGCCGCTCCCTGGAAACCCTATACAGGGTCACTGTAGGTCAGAGCCAACTTGACAGCATTTAACAACAGTCCTTTCTGGAGGTAGATCAGCAGGCCTTTCTTCTGTGGAGCTGCTGCATAGGTTTGAACTTTCAACTTGTAGGTTAGCAGCTAAATGCAAACTACTTGCGCCAACCAGGCTCCTTCTTCATGTTCTACATAGATATTTCTTGCTGACTAGAATAGCTATCCCCCCACTTGGAACTCTCAAAACTCTTGGTACATATTTTAGTGCTGTGCGCTCCTGAGACAGAACCAAGGGCTTTCTTCTGTCCTGCATTTTCAGCCCATGCACATGTTGGACAGTGCATACCTTTGCATCACATGGCTTAGTGAAGGGGGCCCAAAGATATGTCTTTGCTGCCAGCTCCTTCTCTTCCCTCCCTCCCCACCCCCAACCCCACTAAATCCCAGCCTATCTGCACAGCCCTGACCAGCAGACATCACAGAGGAGAGAAAGCAGAGATTTGCTTACAAAGTGGGCTATCTTCATTTCTTAGGGCGGTCAGAACAAAATATCACAAAGTGGGCTGCTTTAAAAACCAAAAACTCATTTTCTCACAATTCTTGTGGTTTAAAGTCCAACTCAGGGTATCAGCTATGTCAGTTCCTTCTCAGGGCTTTGAGAGAGTAACCTGTTTTCTACTTCTCCTCTAGTTTCTGGTGGTTGCTGGCAACCTTGACATTTATTTCCTGTTTGTACATGCATCTGCCTCTGTTTTCAATGGCATCTCTCTTTCCACATCTGTGGAAAGAAAGGAAAGATAGCCCACTTTGTAATTCCACTCAGGGGAATTCGGACTATTAAAACACCAGTCAGAGGAATTAAGACTAAGACCCACCCTATTCCAATATTATGTCATTTGAACCAACAGATAACAAAAGAAAAATTCTATTTCCTAGAGCAAGGTCACATTCAATATATATATTTTTTGGGGGGGGGGGCAGGGGCGGCGACACAATTCAATCCATGGTATAGGCATTCTCTCCTTGTTTGTGCACCTCACCATTAGTGTCTCCTGGCTCCCTCACAAGCCGAGTCCCACCCATGGGAGGCATTGGCAGGAGATTAGAGGGAGGGAGGAATGAGAAACTAAGGTGCTTCTGCTTCGTCCCTGCCCCTTCCCTACTTTGACTTTGCTTCTCAGACATCAACTGCACAAAAACAGGATGGGAACTATAGAAAGGCATGTATAGGGTAGCCCACAGCCCATTTCTGAGATGGGAATTTCAGGATGCCCTACTGTCAAGACTGGGGGGGACAGGAGGTCCCAGGCCAAGTTTAAGATGGAGTTCTCCAGGCTGTCATAGAAACCGGGCTCAGCTGGAATTCTGCCCATGTGTGAAGGCCAGGAGACCAGGGAAAGACAGTCAGGCATGGATGGAGACAGAAGATCCGCCAGAACTCTTCAGCCTAAACCACATCTAAATGGAAATGCCATATTGATGTAACACTTGATGCAGTTATTAAAGCCATTTTACAGGCATCATTTCATTTGATCCCTTAGCAACCCTTTGAGATAAATCTTTTGCCAATGAGAAAGCTGACTTAATCAAGGCTGCGGGACAAGAGAACAGTGACATAGACCAGCGTCTGCAAACATCCAGACTGTGATCTTCCCAATCTGTGATCTCTGTCACCTTGGGACTGATCTGGGCTCCATTCCCAGCTGCAGTCTTGGCAAACTGTACGACCTTAGACAAGTGATTCAACCTCTCTGCACCTAACTTTTTCATCTCTTAGTGAAGCATAACATGTTCCTCTCATGGTTGTGAAGACGCAGTGAGAGAAGAGGGGGTTCCCAAAGACCACGAGAGGGGCAGCATCTGGGCCTGTCTGCAAGAGGTCAGGGCTGGTCCTCTAGAGCAGAGCAGGTGAGACTGACCACTGGAAGGACCATGGGAGGGACCCTTGGACCTGGTAGATGCAGTGAGCCCTAGGAAGAGCTTTCCTCACACAACATGTCATTGTCTATCCCACCGGCAAGCAGGTGGGGACTGAAGCCTGGTTGAATTTGATTTTTTACAAGTAAGGGAATCCATTCTTAATTGTGAAAAATTATCTGAGATGGGATATCAGTATGGGAAAGAACTGCCTACCTTCCACAGTGCTTAACACTGAGCAGATCTACCCAGTTGCTAGTTCCCTTTTCCATATTTCACACTGAAGGACAAGTCATACTTGTCACTCACAAGATCCCAGAACACAGCCTGTTCTTCCAGGGTTGAAGATGCCCACTGGGGCAGGATATGGGACAGTCCAGTAGCTGCCATTGAGGGGCAGGGCAGGAGTTACCAGAAGGTCCCTGAAGTCCACATTCTAGGTCACCACACTGGGAGGGGATGGGGAGAGCGGGGCATTGGCCAGCAACTGGAACCACAACTCCTCAGAGCAGAGATAGCTTGGTCCCCCTTGGGCTCTCAGGACCCCTCCACCACCAGTGGGGCACACTGAGCATGTGTGTGTGTGTGTGTGCGTGCACAGCAGGGGAGAAGCCCTCAAACCCTAGTGTAGCTGTCCTAGCCCTGAGGAGATAGGAACTCTGACAGTAACAGTGGTGAGTGAACTAAGGGAAGGTGTGGAGGGAGTGCCCAAAGGTACTTGGAGTACCAAAGGCATTTCTGCTAACCCAAAGGTTGGTAGTTCAAACCCATCCACCTGGTGATCTGCTTCTGAAAGAAAACCCCATGAGGCACAGCGCCACACGGACACACACAGAGTTGCCACTAGTCGGAATCTGCTTGCTGACAATGGGTTTGGTTTTGTTGTTTTTGCCTTGTCTACCTGTGAGAAGCCCAGAAGGTGGCCTCCCAGTGCGGCCTTCATGTCCAATGAGTGGCAGAGCCACTCCAGCACAGCCTAGATGGTACAGATAATTAAAGAAAACAGGAGCTCATGGAAAGAGTGCTTGGAGACTGATACCTGGGGGCATGGGGCCACTATATTCAGAGCCAAGAGGTGTGAAAATGAATCACAGTCTGTCATTCACCAGCTTTGTTGTAACCTGGGGCAAGTGACTACCTGCCTGCTTCCTCACATGAGAAATGTGATTAACAGACTCAGGGTCATAGGAAGGACCTCTGTCAGGACTATAATTAAGTCTGTGTATGAGTGTCCTAGCTCCTAGAGTGCCTGAGAAGGTGCCTGGTGCCTTAGTGCTGCCTTCAGAGAACTGCCGCAATCAGGTGGTTTTAACCAACAGAAAGACATTTTCTCACAGTGCAGAAGGCCAGAAGCCTGAATTCCTTATCAGCCTCTAGGAGGGACCCGTCTTTGTTTCAATCTTTTTGTTATTGTTAAGAGTGGTTGAGTCAGTTGCAACCCTGTGTAGGGTTTCCGAAGAGTGGCGGATGGGTTTGAACCACCGACCTTGTGGTTAGCAATCCTTCTGGTAAATCCTTGATGTTCCTGGGCTTGCAGATGTATCTGTCTCCATTGTCTTTAGATTGCATTTGTTTTCTTCTTCCCTCTGTGCCTAATCTATTACTTTTATAACTCAGAAGTGATTAAATTTAGAACACCCCTCACACTGACCTTATTAACATAACAAAAATTGAGTGCCAAAGTCAGTTCTGACTTCTTGGTGACCCTGTTTCTAGAAGCCCCAGTGGCACTGTGGGTTAAGCACTGTTAACCACAGGGTTGACTGTTCAAACCCACCAACTGCCCCAGGGGAGAAAGATGAGGCTGTCTGCTCTTTCTGAGATTTGCAGTCTCAGAAACCCTATATAAGGTTGCTATGCATCAAAATTGACCCGATGGCAATGTTATTGGGGGGGAGGGGGATGTTAATTGTTAGACAAGCAGATCACAGGAACTTTCTTCTGCAGAGTCACTGGGTGGATTAGAGCTTCCAAGCTTTAAACTTAGTGTTGTTAAGTGCTGTCGAGTCGGTTCCAACCTATAGTGACCTATAGGGTTTCTGAAGAGCGGCTGGTGAGCTTGAACTGCCGACTTTGAGGTTCAAACCGACTTTGCAGTCCAGCTCATTAGCCCACAGTGCCACACCAGCCGAGACCAAAATGTTTGCACCACCCAGGGACAATATAGCAAAGGAAAGCTTATTTCCAAATGGGTGTAGGATATACATGGGTGTAGGATCAGGATTCCAACACGCATTTTGTGGGGACACAATTCAATCCATGCCAGTGCCCACCACAGCCCCTGGTATTCTCGTGGTTATGGTGTGCCACTGTAGGAAAACACCGGACTGTAAGGTTGGTTTGAACCACAAGGTCAGTAGTCCAAACTCACCAGCTGCTCCTTGGAAACTCTATACAGGGTCGCTATGAGTCAGAACCGACTCCACGACAATTAACAACAACAAGTAGGCACACAGCCATGAAGAACAAAAGGAGGGTCGGGGTGTTCCAGGAAGCTCCTCTAGTGCTGTGAACCTGAAGTGAGGCGGGAGGGCTCCCTTTGGGTGAAGCACAGGAGGCATGGGAAGGCGTCCTTCCAGGGATGGTCTGACTGCACAGGTCAGCTCCATGCCCCACCGGACTCCTCTGGAGACGGGCACTCGAGATACACAAGTCCAGGCAGCACTCGGAGGACAAATGGACACTGGCTAGAATTTTATTCAAGGAATAATAATAGTGATTACTGTGAAATCACCCCCACGTACCAGCCTCTATTGCCTGTCCCAAATATCAACCGTCTCAAAAAAGCAAAAGAAGAAAAGGACTTTTTGGTTTTGATGAGTGATGACTGTCATAATGCACGCTATCTGAGGGGAGAAATTTCCTGTTTCCTTGAGTATCTTATTAAAAAATCAGAAAGGCATAAATATTGCATTCTGTTGGACTGAGTTCTCAGAATCTTAACTACCTAAGGTGCCCAACATGTCCCTCATTAAAAGAAAAACCAACAACAAAAAGATCAGGAAATGTTCTCTCCCCGTCCCCGAGAGTCCTGACTAACCTCCTCCTCTTTCCCTTGCAGTATGTGGCCAACCGACGAGCCGCCGCTCAGAGCACGCCCGAGCAAACTAGCTTCCACCCCCATCACCCCACCCACCACCACCACCACCATCATCACCACCGCCACCTGCGCCACCACACCCACCACCTCCACCGCCAGGAGGCAGACGTGCACGCTGCCCACGTGACACCCTGCACCTGCCCCCTCTTCTCCTGCCAGTGGGAAGGCCACCTGGAGGTGGTGGTGCCCCACCTGCGGCAGACCCACAGGGTCGACATTCTGCAGGGAGCGGAAATTGTGTTCCTGGCCACGGACATGCACCTGCCAGCGCCGGCTGACTGGATCATCATGCACTCCTGCCTCGGTCACCACTTCCTGCTGGTGCTTCGTAAACAGGAGAGGCACGAAGGGCACCCACAGTTCTTTGCCACCATGATGCTGATCGGGACGCCCACGCAGGCCAACTGCTTCACCTACCGCTTGGAGCTCAACAGAAATCATCGGCGGCTCAAGTGGGAGGCCACACCCCGCTCCTTCATGGAGTCTGTGGACTCTGTCATCACCGATGGGGACTGCCTCGTCCTCAACACCTCCATGGCCCAGCTCTTCTCTGACAACGGCAGCTTGGCGATCGCGATCGCGGTCACTGCCGCCAAGGTCCACCCCACAGAAGTCAAGATCTGAAGCACACAGCTGCCGTCCCAACTCCAAGACGCTCAGCCCGTGCACCTCACGGCTCCCAAGCCAGGACTGCAGACTCCATCTTGTTTTCCTTTCTTTCCTCTTTCTCCCTCCCTTTCTTTTAGTCTCAGGTATTTGTGGTATTTTATGATGTAAACCTCCTGTGACTCAATATCTTGGTGTGATGTGTGTCCTGTTTTGTTGATGGGTTTTTATGGAAGTCTTTTACGGATCAGAATAGTTCTTTCCTACCACCACGAAATCCCTTCTCCAAAAACCAAAAGCCAACCAGTTGTCTTTGGGTCAATTCTAACTCATGACGCCCCCCTGAGTGTCAGAGTAGAACTGCTCCATGAAGTTTTCAAAGCTGTGACCTTCCTTCCTGAAACAGATTGCAAGGACTTTTGTCCAAATCACCTCTGGGTGAATTTGAACTACCAACTTTTCGGTTTGTCGTTTAACCATTTTCCCCATGCTGGGACTCTTCCATTCTCCACTATCTCCCAAATGAACAAAAGCCACCAAGATCCTGAAGGGTCCAAAGGAGCTAAGATGTGCCAGTCATTGCTTCCTCCTTTTTTCAGTCAAGCGTTCAGAGTAAGCTAAAGGTGACATGCATATTGGTGGGGATTTGGGAAGGGTGCTAACCAGCTCAAAGATATATTAGGTTTCAGATTAAGCAGACAGGCATAAATGGGAAGCCTCTTGTCCAGAGCAGGGGGCTGAGCAGCGCCCCCCGTGTAGATCCCAAGGCCCAGAGTGGTCAGATGTGGATGGTTATTCCTGCCAATGCTAGTTTTCCCTGTTCTGGAACCAAAATCCTTCATGTGAGGTCCTTTTCCTGAGAATTTCTGTGTCCTCTGTTGAACAAGCAGCAGAAAAGGATGGAAGAAGTAGCAGAAAATCTAAAACATAAAATTAATCTACCTCTGGGAAGAAGTTCTCTCAGAGAGTTTTATGATCAAGTTATTAAAATTCATCATCTTTTCACTGGCATGGGGCACTCGTATATCATGTGCAAACCCAAATTTGTTTCAAATCCTTTATAAGCCATACCCACAACTCAGCAGGAAACAATGAACTCAGAACAGCCGGACTGGAACGCCTGACGTGAAGGTTGCTTGTCTACCTGGGAGGAGGTTCTCCTTTCCCTTGGTTACTTTCTAGACTGCCCCAAAGGCCCCATTCAGAACATAAGGTGATCATTGGCCACGTATGTGTTCAGTTTCCCATTGCCATTTCAATGAAAAATGGAAAAAAATTTTACTGCTTCAAATTTTCACTTGGTCTGATCTCTCTGGTTTGTTTTTTTTTATAAAAATCTCTCATGCACTTGAGGAAAGTAGGTATGTTTTGGCAACTCTATCTTTTCTCAGTTGAACAACATCATGCCTTCCTAGGAGAACCCCTCATCCCTCCTCTTTGTCATTTTTGTCCCCTGTGTCTGGCCATTGTCCAGATACTGTGTAGGTGTGGCACTCCGACCATAAGAGCCGAGTGGGCCTGTGGCCAACTAGACATGCTCTCCAGGCCTCACTCACTCCCCTTGGCCTTGGCAGCTAGGCCCTGGCAGGCCACCAAGGGAGAGCTTTGTCTCAGTCAAATTGCCCTGACTGGCCACCAGCAGTCTTTCCGCTTTGAAAGATAATTGCTCTGAAATGCCCTTTCCCCAACAACCACCTTTACTGCCAAATCACACCCCAGAATCAACAGGGCTGTGATAGCGGATAAAACACCACCATCAACAACAAATAAAATCATTTGCCATGGAGTCAACTCCATCCCACCAGTGTGTGTCAGAGGAGATCAGCAGGCGGTTCTTCTGAGACACCTCTAGATGGACTCGAACCTCCAACCTCAGGTACCAACCAAGCACGGTAGCATGCAGGGACCCTGTGTGGGCAGAAGTCATAACTTAGGTCCTTGTAGTCACACAGTAAACTCTAGGACCCTGGGACCCAGACTGTGTTCTGCTAGTCTTGAGGGTCCTAGTGTGGTGCTGTGGGTTAATGTGCTGGACTGCAAAATCGGCTTGAATCGCAAGGTCAGCAGTTCAAGCTTACCAGCCGCTCCTCAGAAACCCTCTACAGGGTCGCTATAGGTCAGACCCAATTCCAGGGCACTTAACAACAAAAACAGCATCAACATTACACTGCAGATGGAGGCCAAGGTCAGAGGGTTGTAACCTGCTTGCTCTGAGTACAGTCTGAGCATCCTACATCCCCCTTAAACCACAGGTCTGCGGTTGGTTGGTTAGCTCTAGCAAAGACTGGCTTCCTTGGCTCCTGAGTTTATCTCCAGGCCCTTTCCTGGAGCCCAAGACCTCCTGGACTGTAAGTTTATATTTCTGCAAGCATTACTTCCTTTCATAGTTTCTGATACTCAACCACTTTGAGAACATTCATGTAAGAGTAAGATCACTGGTGTCCCAGATAAAACAAGTAAAACCTCAACAAGGATATAATGAACTAACTCTCATCTTGTCTCCTCATCTTTCCAAGTTACCTGACCTACCTGGGAAAACTTCATATTATTATAAGAAATAAATGATTCCAAATCGGAACTTGCATTTTTGGCTCCTTGAAGCAAATGACGTTTAAAAGAGTAGAAACTAGGTTGTTTTCTTCCATGTATGGTGCTCCCCAAAAGGCCTTTCCCTCCATCTCCATTTGAACTAGCAAATTAGAACTACCAAACTAGCATTAGAAGTGGAACTAGCAAATGCTCACAATGACATGTGTTGTGTTGAGCCTCATAGTTCACAACCAAAGTCAGTTCCAGCTCCTGGTGACCCTATGTGTGTCAGAAAAGAACTGTGCTCCACAGGGCTTTTTGAATGTTAGATAGCCAAGACTTTCTCCTGAGGTGCTTTTGGGTGGACTTGAACCACCAACCCTTTGGTTAGTAGCCAAATGTGTTTGCCATTTACACCACCCAGAGACCCTATAATTCACAAAGGGCTCTGGTTATATTTGGGTCTCCGGGTCTTCCTCATAACTATTCTCATTAGACTCAGAAATAGAGGTTCACAGACATTAAATTACTTGTCTAAGGTTGCACATCAGCTGAGTAAACTATGCCTAGAACCCAAGTCAACTGACTGCAAACTTGATGGTCTTGAAATTGGATGGTGATGTTGTGTGTTGCCAAGTCAACCCCAACCTACAGAGTCTAAATGGCATAGAGGCCTTTTAGTACTGATTGTGGGGTCTACCTTTTGCCCTTTCGTTTCTCCTTTTTTTCTCTCTTTAAAGCCCAAGACACAGTGGTGTGCTGGAGCTGACTTATATGTCAGTGATTAAATGTTTATGAATTTGATAAGCTGATTCTTAAAGCCAACCATTACTAAAAATCTGATTATATAAATTTACAATTGAATAAATTTTATTACAAGTAAAGGAAATAAATACTCGAAATTCATCACTTCCTAGTTAGTTTGCTACTTCTTTTATTTTCTGTGCTTCTACCTACCTTACCTGCTGAAGGCAGTACTTGATGGTGTATGTGCTACTGCCCAGCCCCCAATTCCACTTTAGTGACATCACCACATACCTTAAAATTGACTACAGTGAAATATTTACACCATGGAAATTGGCAAAACGCTTGAAGCCAGAGAGGGTCAGTTGTTAAGCATTAACCAGTACATCTCTGCCTACAGTTGGCTGAAACATACAGCAGAGAGGGAAAGGGGACTTTGATTGGAGGTGCTAGACCTTGATGATCATACTAAAGGGTCACAGATGAGAGTAGAGCAACCAAACAGCCAAATTTTTATGAAAACACCCACTGTTCTAGAAAAGGCTCCTAAGCAGCTTTAAGAGCACAGACCGGTGTCTGTTTCAGTGCAATGTTCCATATGATGGCCTGCATGGAAGAATCATGGTTCCAGAAAGCCAACATGTTGGCAATTCCAATCCCAAAAGCAAAACCAAGCTTTACAAAATGGGGACCTCCTGCTACCTCGTTCTTACCTCCACATGTAGGCCAACACCTGATCTAATGAAAATTTTTTTTTGCTTTGAAATCAGAGACCAGAAACAGCCAACATTTGAGCAGTGGTTTCAGGCATTAGAAGTGGGACCTTTCACAACAGAAAGCTGAAAGGTAGAAAAGCTAAGGAGTCAAGGACTGTAACATGAAGGCTTGGGCCAGATAGAGCTTTCTTTCCTGCTTTGGGTACTCCACACCAGCCAAACAGGGATCCTGGGCACAATTACAAAGTGCCTGCCCCGACCTAAGCTTCCTTTATGTATAACTCAAGGGTAAAATACGAAATTCCAAGCTGAGTGCCTTGTAGCAGGCAGAATTCCCAAGCCAATGGTGAATCGTTATTTGGATCCTAGTTGTTTCAAGGCAAGGGGTAGAACGGGATACAGAAATGGGAGAGTGAGGCTTGCTGAAACTTCTACTTGATTGAGTCCCTGGGAAATTGGTAAGGCTTTGATGAAAGTTCAGTTGCAAATACAAAGGGGCTTCAAGAAGTCCATGGGAAAATACCATTAATTCCACTTTTCTATGAATTTTTTAATGCTTTTTAAGTTTTTGATCCTCATAGCATAAAGGAGTCCTGGTGTGGCACTGTAGGATACACACGGGACTGCTAACCACAAGGTCAGTGGTTCAAACCCACCAGCCATTCCTTGGAAACCCTATACAGATCACTATGAGTCAGAACTGACTTGATGGCACTTAACTACAACAGCATAACATCAAAAGTGGAATCTTCTAGTCAGAATTGTAAACCAATAACTGATTGCTATCAGGTCAATTCCAACTCATGGACACCCCATCTGTGTCAGAGCGTTTTCAATAGTTCAATTTTTGGAAGTAGATAACCAGGTGTTTCTTCCAAGGAACCTTTAGGTAGACTTGAACATCCTCCCTTTCTGTTAGCAGCTGAGCATGTTAACATTGGTCCACCCAGGAACTTGAATCAGATTGTTAAACCTTGAAAAGATTTGTTCTACAGGTTTCCTTTAAGAGTCAGAGAATTCTCCAGTGCA